TTGTTTTCAGTGTCGACTAGTAGGAGCTGTACCGTTTAGTCGACTAGTCGACTAGACCCGCACATCCCTAGTTAAAACCAACATTTGTTTACAGGATCAAAGGAAGCAAAGTTTCCTTACAAGGAAAACCAGTCTCCTCTTGGCTTATATCGAAATCCTCCGACATGCTTCTTTACAAATCCTCATTTTGTACTTCTAATAAGTGACCGGTGTTTTATTTTGATCTCTCCGCTGCGTTTCCGCGTGTACTGCAATACCCGCTGTCTGCAATGATAGAGCTTGGAATAGCCAGGACAATTTTTAATCTAACTCCGACTGGATTAGTCTGAAAGAAGAAAGTCATATACACCTAGGATGGCTCTGGGGTGAGTAAAACACAGCCTAATTTTCATTTTTCGGTGAACTAACCCTTTAAGCACATTGACCAAAATATTTCACAAACGAATGGGTGTGTATAACTTTGTGTCTAAAAAATGTGAAGTGATGGTGGGTATAAATGTCATGTACTAAATAAAATGTAGCGATTAACCAAATGGTTCTCTGTGTCCTTGATACCAGCAGGACGATTAGTAAATTGCTGTAATATTTGTCTAATGGAGATGAAGTGCCTGATTAAAGTGACTGAACTGCCAAGCTCAACCTCTCTGTCTCCATAGAGCCCTGCTGGACAGTCCTGGTTCCTTCCTGGTCCAGCTGGAACATTCTGGCTGTTGCCAAGAGACAAAAAAAAAAAACACATTGAATGCATTGCATAAGGATAAAACGAATGGAAACTTGTAGTGTTTGTTTACATGTTACCTTTATATGGCAGCTGTCGCATAGCAACAGTCAGATAGAACATCATTATCATGACCACTTTATTCCATCTTTGTGCCCACAGCCGTGAGGAGTTCAGAAAAAATTTCAGTCTGATTTACTGGACTATTTGTAGTGACTTTCCATGCCTTCTAGAGACGATTTTAATAGTGTGGTTTCTTCATCCCTAGATTCTTGGTCTCTTCAGACCTCTTGGATTGCCCTCTCTATAACTCATTGATTTATTTAACACATTTCTTCATAGAGCACCTGTCTGGGTCAGTTATTCCAGCTGCACTCCTGTCGTGAGGTTTCAGGGTCATTCACACACTCCGAAAATGTATAGCGGAGGAAGGTCAGATATTTAAAGGCTACTTATTTGACCTTTCCAGGCGCTATAGCTTGAGAGGGATGTGGTGTTATAATGCAGAATGCATCAAAAGGGCAAAGATGTGTGCGTGTGTGTGTGTGTGTGTGTGTATGCGAGCGCGTATCCTCGGTGGATTGGTAATATGAGTCTTATTGATCTGTCCCTGGGCTGCTTCAGGAAGATGGGTTGCTGAGAGTATTATGGCACACACACTGACTACACGCATACAGTACACACTCGCATGTGGATCGTACAGTATAATACACTTTATATACACCAAATAAAAGTGCATTTACAGTACTAGCCTACATCAGCAACATACATCTGCTCAGCTGCATTCAAAACACTGCTGTCGTAAGTCCCCTGTTTTTGAATGTGGTTTTGTGCATTACTCTGTTCTCACTTATACTTGAGTTCTCTTTCTGTGACAAGATACCAAAATGTCTTTGGTTGACACCAGTAAAATATCACGATTCTCAAACAAATTTTAATATCACAGAAAAAAAATTAACATTTCATTGAACATGCCTTTTGAAGTAGATGCATATTAATTTAAATATTAACAAACTAAATTAAAACACTGACAGGTGTCCATATATTTCTCAATTAAGCAATTGACCATTTATTTTATTTTATTATTTATTAAATTAATAAAGTAAACAAAGAACAAAGAAACAAATTACAAGCAATAGAACTTCTGTAGAAGTTATAGAATTAGATTTATAGTAGAATTTCTGGTCCGTGAATCTGATTGGTTGAGAGAATTTTCCAGCAGTGTGGTAGTGATAACAGAACTCCAACCTTTTTATCACTCCGCTTGCAGTGTTTTTTACAGTGAGTGTCATTGTGGACACCCAAATCCACTATAATTTTATAAATAATACTGTTTTTGTGTCATGAAATGTAGTTTTAAGATATGTGGTTTGTTAATAAAGATAATGTCTATTTGAAAATTAGCATTGACATTTTCGGAGATGTGAGCTCCAGGGCATCAGCGGCCTCGGGTCTACAGCCGAATCACAGCCGTGCTGATATGCAGCCATATCACACTGCTACTTGTGATTTATATATATATATACACACACACACACACACACACATACATACATACATGCATACATATAATAGTTTATGAAATTCCACTTCCACTTAGCTTCTGTGAAAGTAACCTGTCATTGTTAAGATGAAGGCATTTCTCAGCTTTTCTGGAATCATTGCGAATTTCTTTTCTTTTTTCATGCGCGTGCGCGCACACACACACACACACTCTCTCTCTCAACATGCTCTTTCTCATATACCCTCTTGATCTCTTTATTACTCCTAATTTTTCACCTCTGTCCCCCCTTTCCCTTCCCCTTTACAAATGCTACTTCATCTTGATATCTAATGCAGGTGCCACACTGCGCCATGATTGAATGTTTCATACTCTTGATAATCATATTAGATATTTATGATCCTCTGTGTGTTCATTTTATTAGATTCACAGCTCTCCATCACTTCCTGTGGCAGGCTGACTTTGAAAAGGATGTCAGAGGGCAGCTCTACCTTCATTTCTCCTTTCGATTAACTCAGCCTTGTTTTCCTTTTCTCTCTTTTTTTTTTAAAATAGCGGCTCAAGGATGAGATAGCAAAGGTGACGAATGAGATCGAAAGTCTAGGCTCCACTCAAGAAAGGTAAGATGTGTGAGTTTTTTTCATTCTTTACCACAGTCCAATCCAATTGGTCCGTCTTCAACTGGTGTTCGCTATCTGATTCTGCCATATTCACACACAAATGCACATTCTCCATTTACTCATAAGCAACCACAGAGGAGTTACACACACACACACACACTCTCAGTCTTTCCCGTTCCCTGTTTGAATATTTAATGATAATTTAATGGCTGGTGAATTATGTACGGCTGTTTTGGTAAGAGAAGGTGAAATTTGTGTAAATTGGCTGAGATGTGTTTAAGACTTTGCAAGAATGTGTATTAACATCATACAGTATTTATCATCACAGTTTTGTCTATTTACATTTTATAAAGGAATAATTTCAAAGGAAGCATAATTATAAAGGAAGCATTTTAAACAGGATGTTTAACACTGTTTTAATGCAGTCTGAGGGGCCGTTCACACAGAACACGTTTTTGTAATCCACTGCACTGCTTTTCCTTTGTTTTTCTTTGACAACGGTCAAAAACATTTGTCTAGCAAAAAAAAACGCTCCTCGAGATGCTTATTTCTTCATTCCACTGCCCGCGTTTTTCAGTGCAAAAGCTTCTTCTGTGTGAATGGCCCCTGATACTGCCTGACTGCAGTGACCCATATTTCCAGACCAAACAGAATCACATCAAAGAATATACATCAAACTGAATCAGGCCCATTCATTATACATGATGCATGATCCCACTGGGGCCACCGAACACTTCACAGGAATGCCCACTTTGATTCACATGAGGGCCATTTGGATGGAAGAAATCCATTTTCAGAAAGTGTTCCATGTCGTTAACCTTCCTTTTATGAAATTCTTTTGTCATTCTTTGTTCCTCCTCCACCTTGTCATGTGGCCACAATGGAAGGTACAGTAGTGTGCGGCCCTTTTTACAGGCTGTGGCTTTTAACATTACATGTCACACCACCATCCAAAAGTGCATTTGGCTGAGTGGTTATTAATGATGCCATTATGAGGCCCTGACAGGCGTAGGTGTTGTACAACTGCATTCCCTGAGTTTTAGCTTTAGATTGCAGCTGTCAAAAACCTACCCAGCATTAATAAAGCCCTCATCTCTCTGTGCTTACAGAATAAACATGCAGCGGAGTAAACAGGTGGCTATGGGACGCAAGAAATTTAACATGGATCCCAAAAAGGTAAACTAGCACAGGAGTGTAATACAAGAAGCATCTATTTTTTGTATTTGAAGTTTTCTCCATTATAGAGATATGCATTGGCAAAGAAAATGGTCCCCCATTACATCAAATGCATTGCCATTTTGCATTTTTAAACCTTTGAACTTGTGTGGGTGCACATATTATCATAAGCACACGCTAAGCATCGTGCAACCACACAATTTTCAGTTAATTTCCATATATTTACCAGAACCCAAACTCATAGGTTAAAGTTCAGAGAGCAGGATAAGAGGCTGATTTTTTTTTTATGTACTTTGCCAACAGGAAACTGAAATTACAATGAATGCATGTTGGGCTGCTTTGGAATTTCTTTATGCTGAATGATGTGTTTTTCTCAGGGTATTCAGTTCCTCATAGAGAATGAATTGCTGAAGAACACTTGTGAAGATATTGCTCAATTTCTCTACAAGGGTGAGGGCCTCAACAAGACAGCCATCGGAGATTATCTGGGTGAAAGGTAAGAACAAGTCTTTCAGCTGATGGTCGAGAAAGACAGAGCTTCTGAAGTCTTAATAAATAGATTAAAAAAATGGAAGAAATATTTTTCGACAAGAATATTGAAAGAACAGTTTTTAGCATTGGTAATAATACAAAAACATTTTGTGCATTAAAATCAGCATCTTAGAATGATTTCTGAAAGATCATGTGGCACTAAAGACTGGAGTAATGGCTTCTGAAATTCAGCTTTGCCATCATCACCGAATACATTACATTTTAAAATATATTAAAAGAGAAAACAGTTATTTGAAATTGTAATATTTCACATTATATCACATTACATTATATTACTATTTCTACTTTTTTTTATTAAATAAATGCAGCTTTGGTTTGCTTAAGAGACTAATTTCAAAAACATTACTATTTAATGTGGTCGGTAATATCTGTTAGTATATATTTAATTTCTGAGTTAAAAACTATTTTTCTGACTTTTAGGCTACAAGTTCTTTAATTGCTTTGCATATTGGTCAGATGGTGGGAGTTTCTTGACCAGAATGTATGGTGGACCAGTAGTGCACAACACAACGAAATCTCTACAACACAACGGAAACGAGCCGCAACACAACGCAATTAGCACAACACAACGAAATTAGCACAGCACAACGAAATTAGCACAACGAAATTAGCACAACACAACGAAATTAGCACAACACAATGGAAACAAGCCACAACACAACAAAATTAGCACAACACAACGCAGTTAACACAACTAGGGATGCACCGATACCATTTCTGTCCGATCCGATACCAAAAATTCTGAGTATCGGCCGATACCAATACCAGCACTGTTTTTTTTATAATCAATGTAGAATTTCTATACCTCAGTGTGTTGACCTGATCATCACTGTTTTTTGTGTTTAAAGGCAGAGTAAGTGATTTCTGGTAGCCAATGTTGATATTTGAAATCACCAAAACAAACACGCCCCTACCCCAAAAGGGTCTTGCCCCTATTTTGATAGCTCCGCCCCACATATACTCCTTGAGTTCTCTCCAGCGCTGGAAAGCTGATCCGATATTTACACGGGTCCTACTTCTTGCCTTATCCTTCCGCAGACGTTTTCTTCTTTTGTTTTTTATCCGCCATCTCTATCTTTCTGTCGCTCGGCTCGGCTAATGTCTGTCCCATGCACTGAATGCGCTCTCCTCCACATCACGTGTAGACACGCCCCTTATTGCTGATTGGCTACAAGTTTGTTTTGCGATTCGGCCCGAATCAGTTTTCTAAAGTGTTTTTGAAAAATCACATACCCTGCCTTTAACACAATCTACTAAATATAGACAACTTCATTTTAAAGAAAAATACATGAAAAAATATATAATCATAATCTATGACAAAAATACTATTATAAACTAGGTTAGTGGATAATTCAGCAGCAAAAGTTATTCTAGAAAAATCATGAGAGCACAATAATTTTATAAAATCTAACCATTTAGTGAAATAACATTATTTAGTGGGAACAAATAAAAGTGAATAAGTGTAGGACTGAATTTGATCTGTCGTAACCGAACGCAGCAAGCAGTTTGAATGCTGAATGGATCATAACCCTAACCCTAACAGCCGCAGCGGAGAGAAGAGTTTACGTGAACTTGACTTAAATATTCATCTCTACCTCACAATAAACTATTTAATGGCTTCAGAAGACTTGGAATATAGTTCACAAAAACTTTATGGTGCTTTATAATGTTTTTGTGCCTTTCGTGTGGCTTAACAATAAAACAGAATACTATACGCACAATATCGGATTTGGATCGGTCTCGTCTGAACTAGTGTTGTTTTCGTGACTAAACGGGACGAAATAACGTTATAACATTTCGTTTCGTCTAGTTTTGGTCAATGAAAATGAAGAGACATTTTAGCATAGTTTTTATTTTGTAAACCACATTTAGTCTAGTTTTTATTCGTCAACGATATTGCATTATACATTTAATTATAGTCATCGTCACATGACCAGCATTTTCGTCTCGTCTCGTCTCGTTTTCGTCACGTAATAAAGGTTCGTTGACGACGATATTTAGTCATAATTTTAATTGACGAAAGCAACACTAGTCTGAACGATACCCGATCCGGCAGAAAATGACCGTATCAGAGCCGATACTGAGTATCGGATCGGTGCATCCCTAAGTACAACACAATGGAAACAAGCCCGCAACACAACAAAATTAGCCCAATGCAATTAGCCCAACACAACGGAAACAAGCCACAACACAACAAAATTAGCACAACACAACGAAATTAGTCCTTTGCGTTGTGTTGTGGCGATTTTGTAGTGTTGTGCACTTACTGGGTCACCAAAAGAATGAGCTGCATTTTGGACCAGACATTTAAGCTATGCAAGGCTACTTGTAACCTTCATGGCCTTTAAGCACAGTCATGTTCTTTCAAGCAATTTACGATCAAGCAAAAATAGGTTAATGGAAGTTAAACAGATTTCGGCTTTTTTAAAGATCTGAATTTGCTATATCTAGAATCAGAGCTCAGGGGAGGATGACCTCACTGATCATAAGCTGGTCCAGTACTACAGTCTGTCAAAAGCCATTATCTACTGCATCAAGATTGCCTGTGCCCGTATGAAAGTGCTGTGTTCTGCATTAAGGGTCAGCTTACACATTTATTGATGGACTGAAATTCAATGTCAGTGCCAGGTCATCAGGGACCTGTCAGAGCTGGAAGGAAAGGTATATAGTATGTGTGGAGGATTTATTTTCCTCACTCAGTGTAATTATAGACATGAACGAATATTCAGTTTTTTATTAATACATAACTAATCATCTGTCTTGTAAGTTACTTTAGCTCTCGTTCCAATAGCCTTCCAATAATCAGTCAATAATGCTCTTTCTCTAAATGAACACCCGCATAAATGCAAACGCATTATTTTCTGTCACCTGAGGAAAATCAATAGTGAATCCCAGGATCATTGCTGAAGTGAGGTTACGGCAATGCCGAGCTGGATGAAGGAGTGTAGAGCTTAATGGACGGACCCCCGAAGTGGGTTAATGCATTCGTAGCTCATTGATATTATCGACATGCCCCATTTCCTCACTGAAGAAAGAGCTAGTTACACATGGACGGTAAATCCCAGACGTAATCCCCCCGTGAGATTTAATGCTCATTGGAGACGTCTGAGAGGAGGATCACAGCCGTAATTCCATTCACAGTGTGAACGCTGCGAGTTTTACAACTGTAGACAAGGTTTTTAGTGGCATATGTTTTTAGTGGAATTCTATCTGTCTTTTCTTTTCAAATTTATGTGATTTAATTTAGTTCAAACTTATCATAAAATTTAGGAACACTATTCATTTGCTACTTTGAAAGCACTGGTATTCCCTGAAGGAAAAACAAATCTAGTTGTACCATCCATTTTTCACCAGATGTCACCGTAACATCATTGCTGTTGATCTAAGATTGAATCTCCTGTTCAATTTTATCTCATTTCCAGGGATGAGTTCAATATTCAGGTTCTTCATGCCTTTGTGGAGCTTCATGAATTTACAGACCTCAACCTGGTTCAGGCACTCAGGTGACAAAATACAGATGTATAGATTATGATCTCCTTTGACAAATTCAGCAAATTGATTTGATAGTCTCATTATGATCTCATTAATACAGTTAATTTCTCTCCATGCTCCATGCAGACAGTTTTTATGGAGTTTCCGGTTACCGGGTGAAGCTCAGAAGATCGATCGAATGATGGAGGCTTTTGCCCAGCGTTACTGTCAATGCAATCCCGGTGTCTTTCAGTCCACAGGTATGTATATGTATAATAATCTGATTTTGCAATGTGTTGTAACAATATAAAAAATTCAGTAGTCAGTACTAGTGAAATTTCATGATTTTTAGGCAGAAACAAATATGATGTTGAATGCACTCCATTGCTTTTAAATAGTAAAAATGTGTATGAATTATTTTATTTTTTTATTTTAAATTAATTTGTATTTTTTAGTTTATGTATTTTTTTTATTTGGGTTTTACATTTTAAAATTTATTTGTACAATTATTTTATTTTATTTTATTTTAACAAAGTGCATAAAATGACACTGATTATCTCAATTCAGAGCTGTTGTTTACCCCAAAGTCCCAGTCCCTCTGCACCCACACCCACTCATACATGTCTTGGGCTCTCTTCATAAATTTTCCATGCTCTTAGCCATGCTAATATGCATGTAAAGAGTGCCGCTGATGTAGAGCACTTCCATGCCGCCCACATATTGCTCTGCAAAGTAGCTACACATGGCCTGTCATGAGCACTTTGCTGCATTTCATCAAGAGAAAATTCAAAATTGCACGTAAATATCCTCTTTGGCTGCTAAGAAGTTCTAGCAACAATAGATTCTTCAATCATTTCATGTAATGAATATAAATTTGAGAGGTGTTGAGGGTGTTGTGAATGTATTCATAAAATTATGAATACAAAGAGGATTAGAAATGCAAATAACGTTGGCTTAAGCACTATTTGGACGCACATTTTTTCTCAGCATGACGTCTGTATTAGAAAATGAGCATGACTCCTTAGTGTTTAAACTCATGAGTTTGGACGTCAATTAATTCATTACATTTGGGCCAGTTTGTACATGTAATCTCCTGTAAATGCTAAAATATCTCTTTGCAGATACATGTTATGTGCTTTCATTCGCAATCATCATGTTGAACACAAGTCTGCACAACCCTAATGTGAAGGACAAGCCATCTGCAGAGCGGTTCATTTGCATGAACAGAGGCATCAATGATGGAGGAGATCTGCCAGAAGACCTGCTCCGAGTCAGTGTCCCACACAGTTTTTTCTTTTTGTAATTAATAATAATTTATTGTGTTTATATATTGTTGTTATTATTATATTTATTTGTTTTTATGTATTTTGTTTTTATTATCATTATTAATTTTTTTATCATCACTTACAGGTTTTATTATTATTATTTGTATTAAATATTTTATTATCTTATTATTTATGTTTTAGCTGCAGTGGTTTGATTATTTATTTATATATATATATATATATATATATGTATACAGTATGTTCTTAATTACTAGAAATTTTTATTTTTTTATTTTATTTTCTGAACGGCAGACTATTGCTATTTTCATTTTCCACACAATTTTCAGCTCTAAATACAATTTAAAATTTTGAAGTACAACTCAATGTAAACACTCCTGCAGAACCTTTATGAGAGCATTAAGAATGAGCCCTTCAAGATACCTGAAGACGACGGCAATGACCTGACGCACACGTTCTTTAACCCCGACCGCGAGGGCTGGCTGCTCAAACTGGGTGAGTGAGTGTTTCTCTGTTCGGAAGATAAAGAAATGGGACTGGATGACACATGTGTCCATGAACAAGCCTAAACATAAAGTGTCTCATTAATGCCAAAATTAGATGAATTATCTTATTTAATCAGAGCTGTGAATTGAAAGTCTTACATTGTGTAAAGTAATAGCCAAGAAACATGAGGCCAAATGCTTTATAGTCCAAAGCTAATCTAAAATAGCTGATACAACCTCCTTATTTATCCGCATGCTGCTCATATTTCAGCTCAGCCTGGATTTTACACCAGGCTGACACACACAAGTGTTTTATTACAGTCTTTTGTTACAATAATTTTGCATATTTTCGTAGTTAATTTCATTGTTTTCTTTCTTCCACATTTGTTTTTGGTTTGATGTTGTCTTTCTTCAGGAGGTATGTACACTGGTTTTCCTTTAGCTAGCTCATTAAGCTATGCTTCCAGGTGCTTTGTGCTTTCATTTACTCCATTCGTTTGTCATTTTTTCAGTTTAATTTAACAGATCTTTCATTTGATCAAAATGAAAGTGTCTGAGTCTGTTTGCCTCATTTGAGTTTTAACTGGTGTGTTGTTGTTGCGCTGTTGTGCTGTGCTCGCGATGGGCTTGTGATGTTTGCCAGACTCAAGTCTCAGCCAGCTTTCTCCATCTTCTTGGAGACCATCCTGTCTGTTAAACATTACTCTTGGTCTCTTCTGCGCCCATGTGGTCAGTTGAAGTACTGCCTGCTCTGCAGTCTTTACATGCAGTTGTGCGAATGCTACATGCTGCATACATATAGGAAATAGATGTGTGACTGCAGATTTGTGTGTAAAAATGAGTGCCGTCAAATGATTAATCGCGATTAATTGCATCCAAAATAAAAGTTTTTGTTTACATAATATATGTGTGTGTACTGTGTATATTTATTATGTATATATAAATATACACACACGCTTGTATATATTTAAGAAAAAATTTTTATTTTTATATTAAATATATTTATATATAATATAAATTATATAAAAATATATATACATTTAAATATTTTAAATATATATACTGTATGAGTGTGTATTTATATATACAGTACATAATAAATTTACACAGTACACACACTTATATTATGTAAACAAAAACTTTTATTTTGGATGCAATTAATCGCAACTAGTCGTTTGACAGCACTAGTAAAAATGTGTGTTTGTTTGCGACAGGGATAGCACAGGAATTATAGGAGATGATTTCGAGAAAGCACAGCTGATATAATGGTACAATATTCATGCAGTTTGTAATGAAATGTTCATTTGGGTGATTATTTATTTAAAAACTTTTTTTTAGTTTAGTTGTGCCCTCATTTTTAAGTTTTTTTAAATTATTTATTTATTTATTTTACTTTATTATTATTATTATTATTATACATTTTTTACTATAGTGTCTGTACTTTGTTACCTTTCTGAATTTTTATATTTTTATATATTTCTGTTAAGGATGTGTCTATTGTCTTAATTTATCTTAGTTCTTATTTTTAGTCATTGTATTATAAACATTTGTTTATTTATATTTTTCATATTT